TGTGTTCCCTTCAGAGCATTAGGCGACCTAGTACAAGAGATCGTCTTCCTCGAAGTCAACCGCATCTCACACTTCCAGATACCTTAATTTGTGGTTTACTTAAAATCAAGTCGAAAGCGGACATTATTTACCAAATCACCACAGGTGACATTTCAGTTGTGTTCGAAATGATTGTGTTACACGAACGTGTGGGGTATCATTGTTTGATGTGAATATCAGAACGGATCTTAATTTAGGCACTGGAATCTTAATTTCGTCAAATTTCGGATGCACACACGCATATTATGAAAGTGCGTGAAGCAAATGTAGATTATTTAACAGCGATTTAGATCTTATTTCAATTCTAATGGCGCCTTTTTTAAACACTCCAGAGTCGCCCAGTAAGAACCCATCTGTGGAGGTCACCTCAAGGTCAGGTTAAATTTCATGGCGGGGTAATTTTTGATAAACCTGGTTCCATAAGAAGTCCCAAGCTCAAAGCGTGCTTACTTTTAACCCAGCAGTAGTATGTCTGGGCAAGGCGGACACGACTCCTAGTACAGTTGGTTAATGCGAAATCTGCTTACTAAAGTCACGAATCATTTTAGTAGCTGCTAGTTTGTACCCTGGAATGGCATATTTTAAGCTACCCTCTTATCACCATGACCAAAGATATTTGGAGCAGGCGCGCGGTAAAACCGGATCGATTAAAATTCTGACGGTCCCTTTCATTTAAACAAACAACTCAAGGTCAGGTGATATTGCAAGTAGTGCCGCTTTTCGACTTAAATGAGGCGATCTTACCTTCAGGCCACAATATGGTGATAGTTAAGCGAGATTTGAACGAAGCCTCGCCGTTGTTGATACTGCGCCGGGGGTACCCGCAAGCAAACCGCCAACCCAGCGCTAATCCGAACTGGTGGCAGGTCCAGCTGTTTTCTAGAAACTTCCAGCTGACCCACAGCAGCGGCAGACAGGATTGGCTCAATTTGGCCCACCAGCGTTTCCATGGCAACCACCACCTGCTCTTCTTCAATCGCGAACACACCTTCACCAACCCGTTGGACGCCTTCTTGACGCCTCCACGCATCCACCTCAAGGTAATTACGATTGATAGGGGTGTATACATATTTTTAATTAAGTAATAGCATTCGTCGTAGATACAGAGATCTGTTCAGAGAAAATCTGAGAAATTCTTCCTCAAACTATTTCAAACCCATTGAAAACACTCTGTTACTTGCTTAGTGGTCTCCTCACCAGAGTCCAGAATTGACTCTAGCGTGACCTTGATTTGACCTTGAACATTTGTTTTAGTGAGGTATCTGTTGGGAAACCTCCTCCGCATTGCACTGAATCTAACAAAAGCACTTTTAACGAGACTTTTTTGCTCTTTTCAGTGTTTATGGCTTCTCGTAAACGCCCTTTTGTCTCTGTCACACCAAGTGGGTGTCTCTCAGAATTCCTTACCAGAAAGCATGCAAACGTACTTAAGACCGCCGCGTCTCAATCCTGTAGGCCAATTAATTAAAATTAAACCGAAGTGCTACGCACTGCAAATAACCCACTCGTTGTCAGGGGGTTACTTTGACATCGAAACGTCGAGAAAGAATCACATTTGCCGGTTCTGTAAATTTGGACCACTTTAAAATTTAACTTAACTCGACATGCACTGAACAAAAAAGCAAAATGGACGAGTCATTGCGTAGACAAATAGGGTGTGCATTAAGGGTCGGCATGTCGGTAATTTCGGAAGTTAATTTTAAACGTCTGCGTTCCATGTCAAATGACCCGCGCTTATTCAATTAGAGGGTTATTCAATAGAACACTGATTATTCACTGTGCGGGCATACAAGCTTACTCGTCGCGTTTAAACAAAAATATTCGAAGTTGCGAAAACACTGCATATGTTATGCAATATTTTTTTAACAGATGTCAACAAAATTGCGGTCTAAATTTAATTATAGGTCAATAGTAGCCCAAATTTCGGTCAGCTCAAATTTGGCGCCAACAATGGCCAATGAGAAGCCTTGGAGGTGTGTTTTATATCTGAAGTCTCATTTAAGAAATTGTAATAATTGTTTATCTTGTAGGCCCAATCCGCAATGGCCATGCGGTTCTGTTTGAATGACGCTGGTTTCCAGATGCCGGACAACGGGCTCTTCGTGTTCACGACACTTGTCAAGGTCAAACTGTCATGCAGTGTCCGGATCGCCAGCTCCGGACACACGCGTGCCTTCTATTCGCGAGCCAGGCAAGTTGCTACTAGCAAACATTTCAGTAGTTTACCGAAAAATTCGTGCACTTTCAGCATGCTTCAAGCAAATCATTGTGCACTGAGAAACATGAGAAGAAAGTTTTTTTTTGAATTTTGACAAATCAGAAGTCGATAAAACGATGTTTGTCCTCGTTTCACATGAACACCCACATATCAAATTGGGCTTTCTTACGAAATGAAATTTACTGTTTTAAAAAGCACCGTTTTGTGCGTAAAGAACGTCTTTCTGCTAATTTCAAGCTAAGCGCTAGCTAGAATTTGCTGTTTGGTGAATATTTAAACAACCATCACCCTTAGGGTTCAAATTACGGGCTGAGTAATTTGCATGACCTTCAAATGACCTTATAGCAACGATTTTTTATTTACAGAGGTAAAACAGGTGATGATGAAGTCACCTTCGACCACATCGTCTTAAGCAGCAGCTTCGTGACGAGGGACGGCGATCTGTTCTACGTGGGGCTCTTTTCTCAGACCGGGAGCCAGGCGTCTATGAAGAGGCTGTTTCAATCGAAGGGTCTCCTTACGGCGCCGTTGGCGGTTTGCGTCTTTCGCGACTCCGATCTCACCGGCCTCCTCACCCGCCATCAGACGGTGGCCGTCCACCTGACGTCGCGACCTGTCGAGGTCAACCACACCGTCGCGGGTCAAGGCGCGTCGCGTTTTGTGCTGCTCAACGACAGTGCCCACCTCAACTACGTGCAGGTAGCCGAAGTCATCTGCCCATAGATCGTCTGAAAGTTGGATTTTAAGTGGATATTTTTCACGGATTCCACACAAGCTTCACCACGGCTTAAAGTTGTAAAGATGGCCGACAAAATGAGTTCAGTGGCATAACTGTGTTGGTAAATATCTCCAGAGGAGCATGAAAATCGATCCATCTGTATCGAATAGTCACTTTTGGATCTTGTTTCGACAATATTTAACACGAATTTGTTGTCTTTCACAACGCCGTAGCTTTAGTAAACACAATGGTCTGAATGTGTGACATTTTTCCACTAAAATACATCATTTTGATAGGATACTGTGACCTTGAATAATTCCCAGTATTACTATCATCCACACAAAGCTGAAGACCGAATATTGATTTTTGCTCAGGCATCTCACTTTGTTGTTTGTTTAAATGAAACATTTGCCTTCAGGCGCAAAAGTTGTTTTTGTTTTAGTGCAGCGGCTCAAATAAATTCAGGCGGGTATTGCGTATCATAGAACTTCACCCAACTTCCTTAGCTAAGTAGCGAAAAGCCTTATTCACGCGCGGTAAGTTAAAGGCAGAAGGGGTAGGCAGATTAAAAGATTACCAGACTCCTATGCTTGGCTATTTTACCTGGTATTCTGGAATAGTCGAAAACATTTTCTTGGAGTCCGAAAACCTCAAAAACACTTCATAATGGTGGAATTATGGCGTCGCCATATACTTGCCAATCTTCCGTCGAATTAACAATTTTTCGTGCGGTGTATTTTGCATTTAAAGAAGACTTAGATAATGCCTGTCTGACCCTACAAACCAGTGAATGAAATCTTAATTGTGCCAACCAATCAGAAGGGTCATAAACCGTAAGTGACCTTGGCATTTAAAGAAGACTGTATCCACCAATAATTGAAGTAGTATTATTTTAACAAACAATCTTTTGTATTGAAAGGGACCGACATTAGACAATTGGAAGGCTAGCACGGTGTTACCTCAAGAACATGACGTCGCCAAGGTCACTTGCGGTTTAGGACCCTTCTGATTGGTTGGCACAATTAAGATTTTGTTCACTGGTTTGTAGGGTCAGGCAGGCATTATCTAAGTCTTACCGCAGATCCCACAACAAGATATGCCTTTTTGCTTCCGGTGGGGAGTAATTCTAAGCTTCTAGTCGCACTTCCGACTTGATGTCGTTAAGATTGCGATGAAATCTGAAATTTCTACTGCCTTGGCTACCCTTTGTGTGTTGGCACTTGGTTGCCACTGCGTCTTGCTGATGAGGTCAAAAAATATTCTAATTGCTTCGTTTGGTTTCATCATGAATTCCGCAATTTTTGAAATTAACTTAAACACCTTCGACGGGCACTGTCGTCTCTAATACAGTACGTACAGGAGGCGTGTTATTCAAAGCACAAATTAGATATTGATCGATTTCTGATCATGAGCATTATTTCATTACTCAAAGCCGATTTTGGGACGTTTGGGGGGGGTGTGAGAAGACGTAACCGGAACAAGTCAAAATCGATTTGTCTGTCGACGGTGTGAATTGCAATGAGGTTGATGTAACGTCTTTTGTTTAAGTGCAGGAATGTGGAGAAGCGCGCTGATGATCTGAGGGCTGCTATTAAAGGTGTCTACCTGCCAACGCCCTGGACTCCGATGGATGGTGAACCACTGTCCTACCTTCAGACGAAACAGCGCTTCGTCGCAATGCTTGTGGACACACCCGATGGTATTCCTGGGGTTTCGAGACGCCAACTCACTTCCAGTCGCGACGTCTGCATTGTGTACCTTCTGACTGGTGGGTTTTCTGACGTGCCATCAGTCCAAAAAAGGCGGAAATCGATAAAAATCGATTGTACCTGCAACCCGACTATTATTGGTCCGTGTGCAAGGCATCACGTGCCTGAATACGTTCTACTCTATCGTTTAATCTGCTGCAAATAAAAACATAAAAGTAACGTCACAGCAGTTTAGCGGTGAACTGACCAATGGAATTACGCAAATTTCTTGACGGTATGACTGGTTGTTGTCAAGGCAAGCTAAGTAAAGTTGGGAGCATTTTCGATTAAACATATAAATCTTTGTATAAATAAACCACATTTCTGTAATAGAAAGTTTGTGTTTGTAAACCACGTCAGTAAACACGTTAGAGTAACAAAGACGTCTTCTTTAACTAGCAACTGGAAAACTCGCACTGATGATCTCCCAACGGGACGTCAATAAAGGGAACACAGACGAACGCACTTTTGAAGACGGCTTCTACGCCGACGGCCTCAGACCGCTGTTCTCCCTCCAATTGACACCCGCGTTTGTGCCGAGTCAAGTTGGGATGGAGTTCTCTACGGCAACTTCTGCGTCATGGCCTCGGCCAATATTGATCTGGGATCGACATCGTGTGGCATTTGTTAAATTAAATCAATGCTTTGTTACCGGGTAAACGCTTTCATTATCCACTAGTGTGGTTAAATTAATATCATAAATTATTCATTGTGGTCAGAATTTACCGTCAATTCCTGATTTCGATGGAAGTTATTGATCTCTTAGTTTGGGGTTATCGATGACATTATGCAACTCACAGGTCGTATCCCATTGGTTAGTTGATTTTGTCGTTTTCAGCCCGCATCGATCACACTGTTAACCCACTTTTTCACCGTTCGTTTGTTTCAGAAAGGCAAAATTGCATGGACATTTTAAGGATTAAATCACAGTGAAACAGAGCGCTAGAATCGGTGTGTAGTAAATTACAATTGTCAAGTATAACACTTTAAGCACGCGTCACAATACGACAGGTCAATTTAATGCATTAGCGAGGCATTACCGCAATTTCGCATTCCTCCAAAGTGACAACACAACGCAGGTTTTTTTCGGCTTAAAATCTTTTCTCTAGCTGTAAACTGACTGTTTTTAAATGTAATCACTAATTCAGTAGGTCTCACTTAAATTTTTCACATTTTGAAATTATGTCCAATCACTGTAGGTTAAGAACATTTTAATTGCGTGAAATTCAAAGTATGACAATCATAAGAATGAAAATTATCGATTCTTCTCGGGGGATCATTTTGGCGTTAAGTTAAAATCTCGAGGTCATTAATACGAGCGACGTCTTTAAACAAAACAAATAATTTGGGTTTGATATGTACTACTAGCGGATCACGATTTCCACGACCTTCGGAACGCCAGAATTGGATATTCGTGAAGCAGATCTGGAATCGTGAAGGATGTCTACGCAATCCTGGACGTGCAAACAGAAGCTGCGAAAACATTTTTTCCAGATTGATTTTGAAACTGATTTGGAAAAAAACGTAGAAATGGAGGAGAATGATCTGAAGCTTAGTTCAAGCCAAGGTCGAATCCTGTTTGGAAAACTTTTTTGAATTTACTCTCTTTGTTTTAATAGGGTGATAACACAATAACCAGGAGTAAACTTAGCTTAACCTATGTCCAAATTGGCTACAGTATTTAACAAGCTAGTTTCCGTGAAACCCCTCGCTACGACATTCAAACGCTAGATCAGATATGTGTAGGCGATCAGTCATTTCCTGTTCTGCAAATGTCTTTTCCTCTTCTCTGATTGGTTACTGATCCTCTTAAACAAAAATCATTTTACATGCATTGCCATTTAGATTACAGGCGAATTCTCGATTCGCTTCGGCTTCCTACCTTTACGTCGAAAAAGACTTCGATTTCCATAACACAGGTAATTTTATTGATTTATTTGCACTCTCGCGAGTGAACTTTCAGAAAACTTTTGTACCTGAACGACTAGCCAATCAAAGTAAACCAGATATTCTTCTAAATAATTTCAATAAACCAATAAAATTATACATTGTGCTCTATTGTTTTCCAATAGTTGGTAGTTCCAGTTGTTTAATATAAGAATGAAATACTTGACTTGAATACTTCGACACTTAAAATGTCGTGATTTAGAGAACCTGATTAAAACATTGAGGAGTTAGTCTGCAATTGGTCATCAATTGACCTTGAAAGGAGGGTCGACATTGGCTAAAATTTCCGCTGATAGTAGATTGGATGCCCAATAGGCGGTGTGATTGGTGACGCTGCAGCGGCTAATTCGTGGATTTTATGAAATCATGTTCAAATTAAGTCGATTTTTGTGCAAGATTAATATTCATATGCAAAAATGATGAGTTGTGTTTGTGTCAAGTCATACTTGTTTGATTTTAAAAAAACAAGAAAATCTGAACCGAGACGGCAAAATTTTTGCGATATGATTGGTAAACAGTGGATTATTCAGAATGATGACTCATCCATTGACTTTATCCATGAATTAGTGAAGAATTGTCTATACAAAGTGTTGCCAAGTCGACTGCATTTTATTAGTTGAAGCAAATCCGATTAACTACGAAACTCATTTTTGTAAGTTATGAAAAAGTAAACTACATGATCCGTGTTTCCGTAACGTCTTACCCTTAACCAAGACCAAACACTTAGACAACCGGTTCCACAGACCCACTGTCTGACTCTAGACTTCATGTAGAGAGATATTAATGTCTCAGTCGAATGCCGAGTGATCTATCGTACGGTACCCACCTAAACAGATCAAAGATGACCCTAACCCTATGGATCAATGCGGATAAACACAGAGGGGGCTGTCAATAGGGTGCCAAGGGCGACTCACCAACTGAAGCGACGAGATTCGGGGAATTGTGTAAACAATAACCAAATCCTAACCCGTGATGAGTCGCCTTGGGGAATGTTGAATCACCAACAGTTTACACAGCCGTTTCCCTAATCTTATGTCAACGGAACGAATCTTTCATGAATCCTGTCGTAGTTGGCTGTGAAAGGTGGTTCATGTGTAGCAAAATAGTCGAGAGAGCCGAGTCAATGTCGAAGGTTGCCGTGCTCATTCCCTGAAAGCGTCGGCCCGTAAATGGTGGGAGGATTTCAGGCGAATCCTTTTATTCGCGACCTTCATCGCAAATGTACAAATTTGGCAGTACTTTTCACCACATGTCACTCAACAGAGGCTGCAAAAATCCAGGGGAGGGCCTAAATGCGAATTCCCATTTTAGCACGCACCGCATTTGCCTAACTTTGCCTCTCCTCTTTTGCAGATGTTTTGTGCTTTGCTGAATAATTTGAATGGCAAAAATGCTATTCATTGTAGGAAGTCAAAACCAACTCCGTTAGTTTTTGGACAAAAACTATGCATTTTCTACGAAAATGGAAGTCAAAAACATGTAATAGTTATGAAAAATGAAAGAGAATTCATTGCTGAGTGAACTCCAATATCTTTTTACGAAAAATGTGCTGCATTTAGTTTGGATTTCATGAAATCACATCGTTGACTCAAATCCTTCTAGAGATATTCCGTTGGCGGACAGTGGACATCGAGTGCCACGCGCTTCAGGAAAGTCCCTTGTCGAATGCCTCGTCGACGTCGCTTCACGCAGTCCCATTGAGCACGCAACACCCCCAGTACTTGTCCATAATTGTTGTTCTCTCCGTTATGGCTGCCTGCTTCCTACTAGCGTGCGTCTGTCTGGCGTCGATGGTGCTTAGAGCAAGACGGATCCGCAAGCAGCGGCCTCCGATTGGTCAGTTTGTCGTTGATGACCTTGACAGTACCTTCAGACGCAACCTTCTGGGTTGTCATGACGTGATCGCGCTCAGCCAGGCCGTGGACGTCGCTGAAGGTCGTGGTGGTTGTGGTCAACCATCGAAGCACCGACATCCCAGTCTGTCCAGGGGTCCGTCTGAACCCGGCAAGGTCATCGGCTTCGCCTCGGTGCCCCTAACAATCGATACTGTCACCGGTCAAAGTCCCCAGTTAAACAATGACATTGATTTCGATGTCTTCACCCTCGCTGAATCGGCCATTGTACACCACAATTTGACTGATGTCCGATAGCGAAATATTTGCTTGCACAATTCAATCAAGTGTGCGTTTTATTTAATTTTTTGAGTCAAAATTGTTGGTATCCTCAAGACAAAAGGGCAAGAGTCAAATTGTGTAAACGTTAAAATATTGGTAATCGAAAAATTGCGATTGATTTTTTTAAATAAAAGCTACATCAACTGGGTTTGAGCACGCAAAAAGATATTGATTTTGAAGGCGATCAAGCACATTTAAACACGACAAGCGCACATTCAATTTGCCGAAAACATCAGGTGTGGGACTTAATTAACACAGATTTTTTCGTCGATGTTAAAATTATCTTTAAAAAAGAAATATGTTTGCCGTCTTTTGTGGTTTTCAGAACACCGAACGACTGAGTTTCATTACCTCTCAGAATAGCAGAATGGCACTGTTTTTTGCATGAATTCCAACAAGGAAAAACGCAGCTTCTAAATCACGGAGGAATAAATTTGTAGTGTTCTTGGTGCTGCCGACGTTGTGTCTAGTGAAACGTGGAATCATTGGTGAAAACGTTTTAGAAGTGGTGATTTCGACCTTGGTGACCAAACGCGACAAGAGTTTGAAGCAGCTCGATTAAGAATCACCCAAACAGCACTTAAATTTGTTTCCAAACAAAGGCTGTCTGAAAGAGCCGCAATTTATTCAAAATTTGCCGTAAGCGAAAATTCACTTTCATTAATTAAAAACACCACTTAAAAAACACATCCATCAATTTTGGAAAATTGGTGTTGCGGAAAATGCCACATCTATAAATTTATGGGTTCCTCCAACTTGTAAAAAGCGGTTTTTTTAAAAAAAAGATGGGCTTGCGAGTTGTAAATTACGACCCAGAAAATGGTGCTTTCAAGATTTTGGCAAAAACTCGGGCTAATTAAATGAAAATGAAATTTTGTCGGTAACAAAGCGGCACACACCCCAGGCTTAGAATGAGGACATGACGTAATGCAGAGAGCTTCTACTGATTGACCTTGAGGGGAGCACATTCAAAGTTGATTCAGCCAATAGAATTGGTGAGGTTAATTTGAACACAAAAGTGGTGTGCGGGTAATGAACAATTGGCAAGTTTAAAATGTTCAATCATTGAAAACCGGATAAATTTAGCACTGAAAATTTGCCTTTTTCTCAGCTATGTGGAATGTGAGAATGTGCGTGGAATTGAGGCAAAAAGTTTTAAAGTGCCCGAAAAGGCAGTTGGGGCGGAACACGCTTCCGGTGGGATCAAATCTTTGCCGCGTTTTTCTTGAGTACTTAGAAAAAAAGAGTCGCTGAAAACGTTTGAGTAAACAATAACACCCGACAGCAAAAAATAGTACAATCTGCGATTTTGAGAAAGAAAGTTTAGGAAATGTCAAAATTCGTTAACTTGTAAAATTTTGCATGGTAGTGAAAAGGAGGTATTTTCAATTGCAACTGACTTAACTGCCAACAAAAACCAAGCCAAAAATCTCAAAAAACTGTGCAAATTGATGCTTCTTTTTAAATAAAAGATGCATGATCTGCTTAAATAAATCTAATTATTTTCCGACGAAGCCAAAATTTTATCGGATTGGTTTGTTGGTGCGAAACTGTGAAATTTATTGCCTCCTGAATACTCTGATTTCACTAGGATTTCTTCAGGCACATGTTATGATTGAACAGCGAGCGTAAGATTAGAAATCTGATAATTCATCAAAATCTTTACATTGCATGAAACCAAGTAATATACACAGCTGGGAATTATGCATTCATCGTAATTTCAAACAACAAATTTGCTTGAACTTATCTCAACTTGACTCGTTGAAAATTGATTGGTTGACTACCACTGTCTCCAACCAATCAGCGTAGATCTGGATTCAGGAAAAATCGATTGTGTGGTACTATAGCATTATATTTGTTAAAATGTGTAGAAATTGACATTTAATTTGTCAACAATTTTTCTCCGCTGCGTAACTTGCTTCCTTTGCCACATCTAGTGAGTGTGTTAAACGGTTTAAAAATACGGGGTTAGAGGAACCAGAGTTTTTTAATTGGAAAGTAACACATTTGAAAAACACACGCACACACAAGGTGTGCCTTAACGGACAAATGCAGCCGTTGGATTTTTTGCTTAAAACTTCCGTAAAATCAGCAACCAAACCGCAGTGAGTGAAAAACATTCGACAGAAATACGCCCAAATAACCAAAACAGGTTCTTTTTGCAGAGAGTTATTTTGAAATTCAATGTTTGTCTTAGAAAATATGCAAAATTTTACTTCACACAAGCTAAGTAAAATTTTTGCCCATTTGCTGTCTGATTTCGACAACAAATTGACGTCCATGTAATGTTTGTTTGAGGGCAAAGATTCTGGTCACTTTGAATAACCTTGATGATAATACCAATCAATAAAAATTTATTGTAGGTTAAATAAAACAAGTTAATCATGTATTTTGTTTTTGGCTTGTTACTTCTGATTTACCTCAAAATTTCAATCATTTTTATTGAATTTTAAACACCAGTGGTCCATGGTTTATGTTAAAATAGCTTGCATTTTGACTCAAAATTACAAATGGCATGATATTCCTTTTTAAAACTAAGCCTAAATGTTTGCTTACGTGCCATAGTACGAGACGCTAAGTGCTTTTGTCTAAATGAGGTGTTTTTTTCAACTGGATTTCATATTAATGTTTTTAAGTTCTGTTCAAGGCATCACTGCCATCATCAGATTGATTGGGTGCAGTTTTATTTTAATTAACAATGATTGAGGTTGGCAAGCTGACATCATATATTCTATTTTACATGAATCGTGAACTTTCATACCACAACTTCGAACACAACGCTTTCAAAGCGTTAAGGAGATTTCACTTCTAAGCACATAATTTGGCAAGGTTTTGTTCACTTTCCTGTCCACATTTTGTGCTGACTTTAAAATAGTTGGTATTTTAAAAAATCGCCTGTCAGAAAATCGATAAGCACTATGGCTGGTTCGCATCTCATTGGCTACTTGAAACACGCCGCGGATTGATTGGTAGGCGCTTAGAGATAATTTATGAATGCACATCCAAGAACGATGGAAAACGAGTGTGGCAACCAGCAAGCCAGCACAGTTAGCCTTCGTGAGCGAACGCAGGTTGCAAGCGCGAGCGAGCGCAATTTAATCGATTTTTTCGTAAATACACTGTTGTAGACAGAGGGCCACCGCACGCGTGAGTGCTGCGTGTATCCTCGTCCGACTGTACCAATGACTCACCCCCTTTTTTATTGGCTCTTTTTAGCAGTCGCCTGTAACGCACGCGTATCGATACGCACACGAAAGTTAGTTAGTCGATTTTACTCGATTGGACTTGACTGGCGTGGCGCGAATAAACGGTCGTGTTCTCTTTCGACTCTGTCTTCTCTCTTTTCGGGTTGTAACCGGCTGTTATCTACAGGGTTTTGCGGTAGTGCTAATTTAGGCCCCTACACGAATTTATCTAGAACGATTTTCACCAGGGAAATTTTTAAGGTTTTATAGTTGGCTCGCAGTAATGCATCCTAGCCGCATAAATTTCCCGAAATGTCGCCGCGTTATTAAGAATTCCGGAAGCATTTAAGATCGTCCATGCATTACACGGCAGTCGGCTTTACCTTCTTGTAAACAAGCAGATGCGCATAACGTGAGTTAATTCTGCCACGAGACACCCTGTACAGGCACTGTGTGTTAAAAAGCCAGCTTTTACAACGGCTTTGAAAATGCAAAATTCATTGAATGCACTTACACCGCTTACTCAAGGGACGTGGAAACAAATTTACCCACACAGTTCCCTCCTGTTCTCTCTTGCAATCGCCGCGTATTTAGCCAACCAAAGTCGGCTGTTTAGTCTTTAATACGAGTAGGTGCGTTCTAAAGCCTCGTGAGTGCTTGACGGTGTTCTGGTTCTGGTGTTGTTTTTGGTCAGGCGCGATATTCAAATCCACTTTAATAAAACACCCCAAACAGGTCAGGAAAAAAGCCATCAGCCATTGGTAAAGCCAAGGTCATAAGAATAAACGAGATGTCTTAGCAACACATTTAAACTTAAATTAGACACCGATAGTGCATCAAAAGGTCCAAAAGAATGTGACAAGCGCTAAAAGTGAATTTAGTTTTTTAGGTTTTTGAAAACGAGTTAAAACAGAAGCGCATTCTGGTAATAAGAGGGCAGCTAAGTACACAAAATTCCATCACAAAGCAGCAGATACAAAGATTATTTGAAAAATAAGAAGCGGAGTTAATTTTCTTCATTTTTTAAGCAGAGTTATAATTAAACACAGGAGATAAATTTGTTTCGCCTCGAAATGTCACTTTTCTAGTGACTACAGAGAGTAAACAAGCATGTTTGCTCGCCCTACAAAGAATACCGAATAGCTGTCGAAAATCATCACTTCTCGGAATTCAACTTGACCTTGAGGTGACCTTCAGAGGTGGGTTCTTATTGGGCGACTCTGGAGCGTTTAAAAAAGGCGTCATCAGACTTTGAATGCATTTAAACTACTTCTAATCGATTCACTTTTATTGCTCGCGTTAACTGTAAACTTTTACGAGAAAGGGGTGAATCAAAGCTTGAATATTCATTGTATAAATAATAATAATAATTCTTGTCATTCAGATCAAACAATGGTACCTTAAACGTTAATGTAACACAATAATTTATAGCTCAACTAGAGCAAGGGCTTGAAATGTCACATGTGGTGATTTGGTAATTAGTGTCCGCTTTTGACTTGATTTAAAGTAAACCACAAATTAAGGTATCTGGAAGTGTGAGATGCGGTTGAGGTCGAGGAAGACGATCTCTTGTACTAGGTCGCCTAATGCTCTGAAGGGAACACGAACGTTGCACAAGGCTTTTCCAACTGCACTCCATAGAACACCACGTTCTTGTGAAGCTCGTATGTTGTGGACCTGCGTGAACTGCCACCAAACACAGTCTCCAAAATCAGATTGATTTCAGCGTTACAAGCAGACTGTGCAACCTCGTGGACGACAGTTGTTTGAGTCCGTGCTGATTGAAAGCGGCAGAACCGAATCCGTTGTGTCAGTTGTCTCCATGGCAGAACTGTGTCAAAATAAACTGGCGCTTTTTACCTGTCATGCGCTTGGAGAGGACGCGATTTAGGCAGTTTTTCATCGGTGAGATGAGC